ATCTGCAAGAGGAGTGTTGCCCTCCGCCTTCTCTGGAAGATTAACAATCTTAAGGTTTTTGCGGCGGCCACGGTTTTCTAAGTCATCGACTTTCAGTCGTAGTTGCCCCATCGTTTTCTCAATGGCTGTTAAGCGGGTGTCGTGAGCATCCTGGCCATCCTTGGTAGCGGATACTCAGCCCTCGGCCTCCTCCATACGCCTCTCCAGGTTGGCCACACGATTAGAGAGGATAGCGACAGAGCTCTCGACTGCGGTGATAGACGTTTAAATCTCATTCAGGGCCCCATCAATAACGTCCAGGTGGGCGCTAACTGTGTTATCCATATCGTTCACGCAGGAAGCCACGGACTACACCTCGGCTAAAATCTGCTCCATCGTTACTGAGCTAGTTAGCCCTGGGTTGTTAGCCTCGTTAGCCGGATCTGAAGCCGCCTGGTCGGACGCTTTTTTCTTCGTAGTGTGGGGGCCAGCCGCCGAAAAAATAGGAAAGTCTTTGTCGCGCTTGTGCCTATGCATCCCAGTGATAAAATTTGACTGGTAAATTCAAAGTTATGTGGAGAAAGTTAAGAGTATATTTAAAGCCTGGAGCGGAGCAAAGTCTCAGGCGTCCATCTTGCTCCGGATCACGTGACCCCTCTCCCAGTTTTTATTTGTTATCGTTTTTGGTTTGTTTTTGGTCAATTTAAATTGTGCTTCTTTTGCTGTTTGTCTGAATATATTGTAAATATTGTTCACTGCTAGGTTGAGGTTTTCTTTATTACAAGAGTTACTACAGTCCAAAAAGTTATCTAAAAGTGTTTGGATTTTTGGGGCATTAATTGCTCTCTGGTATTGTTCTGTACTGTTTTGGTCCTATCTGTATGAATTTCTGATGTTGTACAGCTTATTGGCTTGTGTGTGTACCATTTTAATGTCTGATCTTTTAATAAACAGGGTAATTTGGCTGTGATCAGACAGAGGGATTAGCAGTTTAACAGTGAATGAGCTGAGAGAGGAAGGTTCAAGGTCTGTGATCATATAGTGTACAGTACTATGGCCAAGAGGTGAGCAGTAGGTGAATCTTCCCAGGCTGTCCCCCCGTACCCTACCGTTGACAAAGTACAGACTGAGGCTCCGGCAGAGCTGCACCCATCGGCGTCGCCAGACAGATTTTACTGGGGCACGTGTCCCAGTATTGATCTGCAGTGCCCCAATACAGTCTTAAGTCTAGTGACACCCCTGGCTGCACCAGCTTTCTTTTGCTCTTGTTGATGACCTCACTATTGTTCCTGTGGGGCAGAGTGAAAGTGTTAGAGATATTTCCATTTGTGATGTATTTGTCCTCTTGTGGATCTGTGAGGTCAGTAAGTGTTCCTGTGTGTGGACTTGTGTCCCTGCAGATGAGCACATTTCCCTGGGCCTGGAAATGACTTATCTCTGTCTCTAGGGTGAGGAAGGTGTCTTCTGAGAAGTAGGGTGATTCGGAGGGAGGGATATATATTGCGTAAACAAATAATTCCCTATCTGTTAATAAGAGCTCTTTCTTTAGTTATAACCATATGTAATATTTGCCCATTTTTAGGGGATCAATTTGAATATGTAGATCAGATTCATACCAAATGATTAATCCTCCGGATTTCCTACTTCTATTAGTGTTGCTGTATTTCTGAGATGGTACTATAATTTCTCTATAATTGCTAGGACAGTGGGTAATAGTGGCTTTACACCATGTGTCCTGTAGAATGACGATATCAATATCTGTAAGGTTTGTTTTAAAGTCTGGCGCCAAACTCTTCAGCCCGAAGGTTGAAGATTTTAAGTCCTGTATATTCCACATGCATATTGAAAGGGATTTCATTGTACAAGACAGGTGACAGGTAGACTAGAAAACAATTGAAAACAATTGGACTGTCAAGAGAGCCACAAACACTTAACTGTATAAAATGTAACATGTTGGAACAATATCTAGTTAAAAGTATTCCTTCAAAGATATAAAATGTTAATAGGTATTCTTTACCTTTTCAGAGATTGTGTGTGTGTGTGTGTGTGTGTGTGTGTGCATGTGCATGTGCATGTGTGTGTCATTACAACACTAGTTCAGTTTTGTGCAGATATAATGAAGGAGTTGCTTAATCTCATTTATCCCTTCTCGGTCCACTCGTCCTTGGAGGGCCTCTGCGTAGCTGTGTGGGGCTTGGTGTGACTCTGTCTGCTGTAACTGTGGGACGGAGTTGGACAGGGGCCGGGGACCAGGCTCTTGGTTCTGGTAGACTCTCTGGTTTGGTGTGGGTTAGTAGCCTGAGTCAGGGCCTGTCTGACTTTGCTGCTGGAGGTGGTGGTAGTGGGGGTCTGTGGGGTACGCTGGGTCTGGGTGGAGGTCTGGGAGGTCTTTGGCTCCTGACGGGGTCTGGTGCGTAATGATGGTCCCTGGTAGGTTCTCTGACTCGTCGTCTGGTTGGTGTGAGATGGAGGCTTTGACAGCCCAGTGCCACATCCTTCAGTGTTTTGGTAAATATGCCCACTGCCTGCTTTTTTAAGTGGGAGTGGTCAAACAGGTGCTCAGGAGTTATGGTTGGATGATGTGCAATGTACACATTAGGGAACGAGGCACTGCCTCTGGTGATGTCAGTGTTCACCCTGTGGATGGTCTTGGGGTGAAAGTCTCTGTGGGGTAGCAGGGTAGAGATGGTGATACGTGAGTTTGGAAAGGATGCGGCTCCTTCCTCTGCTATGTTGGTGACCAGACTACCAACCTTTTCCTGCTCCTCACGCAGGTTGGTGGTGCCAATGTGGATCTTGTCTTTCCTGTGCTGCATCCTCACTGGGTGGTGGGGGCTCAGTGATTGGAGGGCTGGGGGCGTGAGAGGTTGTGGCTCTTCTATACATGTAGGTGTATCTACAGTCTGTGTTCTGTGCTGTAGCTCCACCATGATGGCTGATAATTCCCTTGTCATCTCATCTCTCATCTGTGCTATTTCTTTTCTCATGGTGTCTCTTGTTTCCCACAGCTTTGTGACGAGGGCCTGTTTGTCCTTCTGCAGGTTGGAGATCTGTTCCCTCAGCTCTTGTGTAGTAGTCTCCATCTGGTGCTTATATTGGCTGAGTTGTTCCTGGAGGTTAGGGTGTGGTGTGGCGCTGGTGGGGAGTAGCTGTTCTCTCAGCTCGGTCAGCTCCACCTCTAGCAGAGCCAGTCTGTCTCTCAGGAGGCTGATGGTGTGTTGGTCTGGGTGCTCGTTGTTATGGTCAGGCATGGGGGAGCTTTGAGCAGTGCTGTGGACCTGGCTGTCTGCTGTTGTGGTGCGTGTGGTGATGGGAGAGCTCGGAGTGCTTCCTGTGTTCTTTTTAGATGCTGCTATTTTCTTCAGAGTAGGAAAGCTCTGTACAAAGGAACCGAGGGTTCATTGCCTTGCACCATGATTGTACCATTTTGGTAAAAGTTGATGGTCAATATCCTTCTCTCTTGGCACTTATCTTCATCCTCAAAGATCTGAATTTGTCTCCCCTCGCAGATTCCTCTCTTGACGCAGAAGCTGTAGTGCTGTGATATGGCTGTATGCCATGCAGTGATATAGGGTGACGATATTTTGATTTCCAAAAAAGAAGACATTCGGCCGGCCACAACATAGCCTACTTAAATGATACTCGCAGTTTACTCAAAGATGCCTTGTCATTTTAATATATTAAAAATGTATATGTATGGATAGAAAATTCAGTTATATTACAAAATAATATCTCTCAAAGACAGAAATTCAGATCGGCCCAATAGGGACACATACACACACTAGAGTGTGGCGAGCCGAGCCCGACGGTACCCGACGGGTCAGGCCGGGTTTGGTCAAAAATGTAGCTTGTATTCGGGCTCGGGTCAGATTCGGTCAGCTTTCAGTGAAAATGTAGTGTAAAAATAAATAAAATCCTATTGTCTGTCCTGATTATTGCTTGGGCACTGTTATTTACGTGACAAGACCTGAACACAACACACACAGACACACATTGGCTGTTTGTTTCTACCTCTCACCTCGCTAGAAGCATCGGACCTCCCGCCTCCCGCTCCCGTTTCAAACACGGAGGTCTCCCTCTTTGCAGCTGAGCACACCCGGCCTGTTAAATAGCCTGTAACAGTAACAACTGCGTGACACAAACTCAGTGCTTTGGTCATTAAATAATGTCGGACTCGGTTCTGGTTCGGACAGAAATATGCGGCCCGTGCCGCACTCTAACACACACACACAAACACACGGAAAACCGGACATTATCATCAGTTTATAAAAACCCCCCGGACGCCCTGGACGGGACGTGAAAAGTGGACATGTCCGGGCAAAAGAGGACGTTTGGTCAGCCTAAGTGATATGCTCAGTGTAAAACAGCAGATTGGTAACAACAACAGTGTTATTAAAGCGGTCAGCATATAAAGTCTCTGGATATTCTCTTTGGATTCTATGTTTGAACTGTATTCTTCCATTTTCTGATTTTATCTCCTCAGAGTACTCAAAAACTGGAGAAGCAACGTGTCCCTTACTGCCGCTGTTGTAGTTTCAGTGGCCATGTTGCTATAGCAACCAAACAATTGCCAAGGTTGTAGCGATTCTAGCTAGCTAGCTAGCAAAAACAATTTTTTTCGTTAGCTAGCAACAACATACACACACACACACAAAAAAGCAGTTTCTTAGCTAGCAAGTAATAAGGAAGTAGGCTTCTGCGCCTTTCTTGCTATGAGGTTAGTGTTATTTTCCCACCTGGTTCTCTGTGGGAAGCTGAGGCTAACAGAGCTGGCAGTTGGCAGTTGGTTAGCTAGCTAGCAACATTTGTCAGTTGGAAAAATAAACCTACATTGAGGTTTCCAAGTCAAGAAAAAAAAAAATTGATAGAAAAATATGACTGTCTTTTTTATGAAGGTATTCCACTTGTTCTTGATGTTTGTATCTCTTATGACAATCCAAAAGCTCAATATTAAATCAGGAGCTCTTTCTCAGCATGTCATCTTGTCACATGTCTGTCTCTGTCTCTGTGTCTGTCTGCAGGTGTATTTTGCTCATCGTGCTGTTTGCTCAGTACCTGAGAGCGACATCACTTCCTGTTCCTGTTTACAGCAGGGAGAAAGGCCTGACCTCCACCAAAGTCCAGATCTTCAAAATGTTTCCTGTAAATAAACTAATAAAGGAAAACACAAATACAAATAGATGATGTGTCAGGTGACCTGTCAGGTGATGTGTCAGGTGACATGTCAGGTGATGTGTCAGGTGACCAGTCAGGTGATGTGTCAGGTGACCTGTCAGGTGATGTGTCAGGTGATCTATTAGGTGATGTGTCAGGTGACCAGTCAGGTGACCTATTAGGTGACCTATTAGGTGATGTGTCAGGTGAAGTGTCAGTTAAATTGTCAGTTGAGGTGTCAGTTGAGGTGTCAGTTAAATTATCAGGTGAAGTGTCAGTTAAATTGTCAGTTGAGGTGTCAGTTAAAGTGTCAGGTGAAGTGT